AAGTAGGTACACTATACTACACTACACACTCCATAAATAAGTAGGTACACTATACTACACTACACCTCCATGTAGAAGTAGGTACACTATACTACACTACACCTCCATGTAGAAGTAGGTACACTATTTTACACTACACCTCTATGTAGAAGCAGGTACACTATTTTACACTACACCTCTATGTAGAAGCAGGTACACTATACTATACCACACCTCCATGTAGAAGTAGGTACACTATACTACATTACACCTCTATGTAGAAGCAGGTACACTATACTACACTACACCACAATGTAGAAGTAGGTACACTATACTACACTACACCTCCATGTAGAAGTAGGTACACTATACTACACTACACATCCATAAATAAGTAGGTACACTATACTACACTACACCTCCATAAATACGTAGGTACACTATACTACACTACAACTACATGTAGAAGTAAGTACACTATACTACACTACACCACCATGTAGAAGTAGGTACACTATACTACACTACACTTCCTTGTATAAGTAGGTACATTATACTACACTACGCATCCTTACACTACGCATCCATGTAAAAGTTACCACATGAGCACTGCCATCGCACATGAGTTATCAGTCAGACTGCCACCGGTTGAACGAAACAACACACGTCCTACTCTTACTCATAAATGCATGGTTGATTTTCATATATATATATATATATATATATATATATATGTGTGTGTGTGTGTGTGTACATAGACACGTGTTAACTGAGACAAACATGCAAGTGTAATAATACCATTGAATGTGCATTGAATGTGCATCTACGAGTGCAGATGTTTATTATAGCATACGCAGATACACTGTAGAGCTACACACACAAAACAGGGAGATATATTCACAATACCAGTGAAATATATGCACATGAAAATGAATATACTCAACAACGATATATGTATATATATATATATATATATATATATACATATATATAAATACATATAGATATATATAAATATATATATATAGGTTGATTGGCGATTGTAATCTAAACTACAATAGAATCGGTCGAATGGTTAAATAAATTTATTTTTCATCTCTCGGCCACCCAACAAGGTATCATCTCAGCTAAGCTAAGCTATATGTCAGTAAATCTCGTTATGATAACAGCAATATATATATATATATATATATATATATATATATATATATATATATATATATATATATATATATATATATATGCACTAGTAATGTTATATGTGGAATCCCGCCGGGCTCTAAAAATCGATACACACTAATATAGTGATACATGTGCAAATGAACATGGTGTGCATACTCAACGACAATGGTATGCGTGCACAAGTAAAGTAATACTTCCATTCACCGCACTAAAATTTAATAACCGAAATAAACTGTAGCAATCATACATATGCACATGAACATGGTGTACATACTCAATAACAACGACAAGCATGCACGAGTGAAGTGATACTTACATTTCAACAACCAGAATACACTGTAATAACTACACTGTGCGCATGAACAGAACGTTACAAACACGAGGTACAATCTCAACAAAAGAGATATAGATAAACGGATAAACTAGTACGCACATTGCTCTGGATTCTAATTGATAAAACATCTACCAAACATCGGTACCTACCTTTAAATACCTCGGTAGTCCGACCGTAACGCCAGTACTGACCCATTCGCAAGCTGCGTCTACGTACTCCATTGTTGTCGGACGTATGTGCAGTCCAGATATACTCACTGGTATATCGATACTTCCACTTGTGGGCAATACGTATACGCACTGGTATATCGCAGCTTGCACACTCTAGTGTGGACTAATGTCAATGGGCATGGCTTATTAAACAGCATACGGAGAGACTTCCACAAGCTAACCTCAATTCGTTCTAGAAGATTAACGCAAACGTTTATTTATTGGATAGAAGAACTATGTATGTATCGTTTATTATTCGGGTCAAAGGACTGGATTGAAAAGTGGACCTCTTATGCGAATTTAAAAACGGACACTTTTGGGCAAATCCATAGAGCCTTCAACGTATTTTTTTAGTATATCCGTTTCAACGCAACGCGTATTGAGGTAAGCCACCGGCTTCAAGCCGGCTCCAACCCCAAGCCTAACTTCTCAGCTCGCAGCATCTCAGAGTCCGTATACAACGCCGGTAGTTACAGTATGTGTAATGAATATTTTAACTAAAAAAGTGTGTGCGACATTTATGCGAACTGCCTATATATTTAACATATAACATAAAGCTGCACAGGACTAAGCACACGATATAACGACCCACTCCTATAAATCTCAGCACAATGCCCAAGGTAATCTCGCGTAGTATCGTTGTCACCGATCAGGATGCTCGCATCGACGACGTGGGTGGGCTGGAGGTGCCGCTGACCGTCTACTACTGCTTGTGTGGCCATCTTGCCTTGATTCTTGGTATGTATCTGGGTCTATATATAGTATAGGGTTATCTGGGTACGTAACTCGCTCGACTAGTTATACCCGGAGTTATAACCTATTATGACCCTTGAGCTGAAGGGGTTGTTAACGTCTCTGACTGCTCATGTGGCCAGGTAGTCTTGGTTCTCTCAATACCAATCATTCCAAAGTACGGGGTAGTTGCTATTGAGCGCCTGGTCTTTAAGTAGCCGCTTGCTATTATATGTGTTTACCTCAGATGTGTCTGATAACTCACCACTGCCTGTGCGGTCACCTTGCTTGTAGTTCTGGCGTTCGTTTTTAATCATCTAGACCGTTAACGCTAGATGCAGCTTTTCATAGACCCTATTGTCTCGACTATGGTGCGTACATATGGTATGTACTGATAGTATTGAATATGTTAGATTTTTGGCCTGTAGCATCAATACCTGCTATACATGCGTTATATCTACTCTGGCCCTTTCAGCTGATGGGTCTTCCTCCATGTACGTGCAATCACAATCCAGATACAAAGCTTGAGGCGTTACCCAAACGCAAGCGTGATGGTGCCGCTGTGATACAACGAAAACAACACTATCACAAGTTGACATTTGAGGAAGGACCTGTGAAGAAAGTTAAACGATCCGAAGGAGGCTGCGAGAGGCAAAAGCGTCTAGTGTGCAAGAACTGCCAACTGCCTCTTTTTTACGAGCCCGGTCAGGTGCGTTTCAAATGTAGTAGTTTTCAATAAGTTAGTAGTCGTAAATTTATATATCAATATATATATATATATATATATATATATATATATATATATATATATATATATATATATATATATATATATATATATATGTGTGTGTGTGTGTAGTAGTAGTATATATATATATATATAGTAGTAGTTAGTTACGTTAGTTACTAACTAATATATATATATA